TCTGTAGACCTCTCACATGACTTGAACTACAAAAAATAAAAACAACATTATGCAATAGCCAGGGTTTGGGAATCCTTTCTCTGAAGAGATGTGGCCTGCAGGGGAGGCCTGCTGCCTCCAGGGGGCGCCAGCACCCTTCAAGGAAAGGAAAGGTGCAAGGTTTGCCTTGGGACAACTCCTGCTGACTTTCACCCCTAAGGAGGGTTCTCTTCCTGTGCCCAGAGGAATGGGGCGGGATGGGTGAGGTCAGCAGAGCCAGGCCCGGCGCCCGGCCTGTTCAAAGACTGGGACATAACAGAGTTAGAGATCTCTAGCTGGCGTATCCTGCCCCTCCCCATCACCACCACTAACGAACTTCCTTAAGTCCATGCCATTTTGGCCACCAGTGTTTAAAGGACAACTGAATCTGTTGACCTCCGATTTCACATACAGTCCTGATTCTGGCCTCTCTTGAGGGCTGTGTTCAGCCTGCCACTGAGGAGCCTTCACCCAGAGCATGGGAGCTCCAGGTGTCAGGACTGCCCCTTCTCTCTGTCCAACCCCTCCCTCCCAATTCTAGTGGGCTTCACTCACTGTCATTAACCTAATAAGATGGTCATTTGAGTAGGATCCATGGTCTAAGATTCAAGAATAGGCTAGAAGTTGAAATCCAGAATCCCAAACTTGTCCAGGTTTTACTTCTCTCCAGATAAAAACAGAAAGGAAAGCAGATCTTGGTTAAAATTGAGCACTAAAATGGATCTGAATTCAGAATGTCTTATTGCTAAAATAAGATGTGCTAAACATCTTGGGGACTTTTATAAATCTCAATTGAATGTCTGCTGGGAGATAATTTATTAAGATATAATTTGCCATTTTTCCAGCCACTCTTGAGTATTTTCCCTTCCCTAGTCCAAGAAGTTAGCCAAGGCTTTCTGTTCACAGACTCAGTGGCTTCTGCGTGACATGCCTAATGACAGCATTGCCAGAAAACCACCAAGACCCAAGACCCTGGGAGAGGTGAAGGAAAGGAAACAGAGCCGTGGCAGAGCAGAGGCCAAGACACCACCACGGCACAGGGAGACAGCCTGATGCTGGGAGAGGACACCTTCTCAGGCGGGGGTGTTGGGGGACTTGCTGTCAACTTGAGAGGCAGGAGAGGAATTTGCAGAAGACAGATTACATACCCTACCAGAATCACAGGATTGGGGTGCAGAGCAGATTAAATTAGATATAGAGAATTTAAGGAATGTGGCAACTCTCACCTAGAATTGTGAAGTAAAATTCATACCCACTGTTGCGATGTTTTGTGGCAACATCACCCGTCAACTCTTAACTGCTATGGAAGATGGCAGAGGGAGCTCGGGCAAAGTCATGGTTCAGTGACTGCTCTCCAGTAGATACAGGGGGGCAGGGGAGACAGGATTCGACTGCCAAGGGGACTTTGGGAACCCAGCCTGGTGACGAGTAGGAACTGCCACGTTAATAAACTGTAATTCATCATCTCCATAAGTTGTCTTTGAGTTTGTCACTTTAAATGGCTGCAAAGCAACTTGCACCTACATCCATTTTTACCAAAATCAACTCCATCTTAAAAAGTTGAGTTAGGGGAAGATGTTTCGTCGTACTTCTTCAATAACTTTAATTAACTTATTTAAATTTTTTCAAAATATCTCTGTTGCTTGTGAATGGAGTGGTCGCTGTTAGTAACAATTTCATTTGAGGCCACAGCAGAGGTTCCTCGAAGAGTATGGGCGGGCCAGGGGAGACACACAGGTCTAGACATCTCAGCAGTCCTTGCCTTGACCTCACCACCACGTGCCCTCACGGCTTTGCAGGTCAGCTCATCAGTGGACCTCCATGCCCCTGCTATAAAGGGAAGGGATGGATGAGAAATCTAGTCTCTCTCAATTCTAATTTCTATTGCGTCTTGGTATAGTGCATTTTGCCTTTCAAAATGATTTCACAAAAATTATGGACCAATCCAATAAGCCAGAGGAGGATGCGTGTGCACACCATTTGACAGATGTCAAAACCCCTGTGAGAAGCTGATTCAAGATTTGTCCAGGGCGAGGCTGGAGCCAGGCGTCTCCTTCATTCCTTCAACGAGTGTCTGCTGAACAGCTGCTACGTGTCTACATTGTTCCAGCTGCTGGGGTTGCAGCAGTGAACAAAACAGCCCAAATCCCTCATGGAGCTTACATTCTACTGATGGGAGACACAGTATACAAAACAAATCAGTAAAGTATGTAGAATGCAAAATAGTGAAAAGTGCTAAAGAAAGTAGAGTGATAGGAAGAGTGTGTGTGTGTGTGTGTGTGTGTGTGTGTGTGTGTGTGTCAAGGTGCAAGTGGAAATTTTAGACAGGGCCTCAATGCCTGGTCCCAAGTCCCAGTTTTTGAACCATCTGCACTGCCACGTGACCACGGGGGCTGAGCAGACGCGTGGCAGGCCAGGAGGGATGTGAGCTCAGAGTTGGGTGGTCCTGGGGTCTTATTCTTGCACTTCTCCTGAACCCATGGTCTTAGGAAAGTCAGTTAACCTCTTGGAGCTTAGTTTCTTCTGCAGTAAAATGGAAATTAAATATCTACGTCATGGGCGTTCATGCAGATTTAATCATGTAATGTGTGTCAGTGCAGTGTGGAGCCTCAGGTTCAAACCCCATGGGACGGCAGGAGAGGGAGGCTCCCTGCAGCTTCCCTTCCTTTCTGGACACAGCCTCCCTGTGGGAAAATTCTACCCCCAAACAGCTCCCAAAGGGGCCAGCCTGCAGAGCCTTCCTCATTTCTCTCAGGGATGGTGGGGCCTCCCGGCCTCCTGTGAGAATTGAGGTGCTCCGTTGGTGCCTGCAGCAATCACCGCTGGCTCCTTCCAGACGCAGAGGAAAACTGCTCAGGGGGTCATCTCCTCTCCTCCAGCCCACCCCACCGGCTGCAGCCACAGGCCACCTCAAAATGCCACTCAGAGCCCGCCCTCCTGTGTCCTGGTCCAAACTCCTCTCCTCAAAGCCTTCCTATGTCTCCGTCTTAGAGGGCCACCTCCCCCACGCAGTCCGCCTCAACGCTGGCCTTGCAGCACCCGAGGAGGTCTGCAGCTCTGGACCACCCCTTCTCCCTGGCCACTGCCCTTTCTGTCTGAATCACCAGCACCTGCAGGACTCTGAGGCTCAGCTCATGTCTCCATTCCTCAGGAGGCCTCCTGGGGTAGCACACTCCCCTACACAGGGCTGACTTGGGCAGGCACCCCCTTCACACGCCCAGCGCCCCAGCACATGCCTCTTAGCATCTGTCACACTGCACTCTAATCATCTCACACCCTGAGTAAGGACCATGGGTCGAATTCACTGAGCCTCCCCCCCAGGGCCTGGTAGAGAGCCTGGCACAGCCTGGGTGCCCAGGGAGGCAGGTAAATTAATGAACAGTTGGCTGTGGGTGGAGAATGGATGGATGTGTGAGTGGGAGGTGGGAGAGGATGAGAGAGAGGGATGGAGGGATGGGGAAGGCCAGATGGGATGTGCTGCTGCCTTGGACAAAGAGGGCGCCATGGAGATGGAGAGAAGAGGAGGAGTCTGGGGGGGTGTTTGGATGGCTAGCTGGCCTCTGTCCGAGACCCACATCAGCTCCTTCCCACCACAAGCCTGAGCTCTGTGATGGAGGCCCCATAGGAAAGTTGGAAACTGCAGGTCAAAAGAACAAATCCTGAAAGTGAGGTGGACACCAGTCAAAAGAACTGCACCAACTTGAAAGAACCCCCAACCAATGGCTTTCACACAAACTGGCCTGCGTCACATCAGAGTTTATGACCTGAGGTTTGCATTATTAGGAACAAGGACGAATGTGGATAAACAGAATAAATGAGAGAAACTCCACATGCAATAGATAATAAATGGTACCCAGAACTACCGCAGTCCTCACAATGATTTAAGCATGAAGTTTTTGCACATGCTCACTTCCTGAGAGCTAAGGGGGGTGCGTGAGTGTATGTATGTGTGTGTGTGTGTGTGTGTGTGTGTGGTACGTGTGGTGTGTGTGTGTGCTGCTCCATTTTCCCCTTTCATGTGTTCAGAATGTGAAGAACCAGGGACCAGATGGAAGGTTGAATTACTGGGCCCAATTCTTGAGGGCCCTGTAGTGGGATTGTGCACCCACTCATGGCTTCACCATGGGCAGTGTGCACATTTCACCCCTTAACTGTGGGCTTGGCCACTGACTTGTATTGATCAAAGGGACATTAGTGGAAGGGAGCCAAGCAGAGTCTTGAGATGTGCTCGTGTATTGGGACTTGCCCTCTTGTGTTCTTGGCATAACCGTGAGAGAAGCATGACCAAGTAGTCCACCAGTCCCAGAGAAAAACAGCATGGACCTGAATCCACCGGAAACCTGGAGCCAAGCCCAGCCAAGCCCAGCTCAATCCCAGCCAACTCACAGACCCACGCCTGAGGAACAGGTGTTTTGGGCTGTTTGCCACTGAGAGTTTGTCAACGATAGCTGACTAATGGACCACGATAATAACTACTGTCAACTCAATGATCACACTGTGCCGTGCGCCATGCTGGCCATTTTCCACACATCTTCCCGTGTGTCCCTGACAACGTCCCTAAGACACAGGTGTCATCATCTGCATTTTACAGATAAGGAAACCAGGGCTCAGACAGTTAAAGCAATTTGTCCAAGGTCAGGGCTAGTATGGAAAGGGCCAAGATTCTAATCGGGTTTGCCTGCCTCCAAAGCCCTCACTGTGTGCCAAACTCGCTTCCATATGGAGCCAAAGGAATGGTGACGGGAGCAGGGACCCCACTCCTGAAAATATTAGGAACACTTTGTGCCTATCAGTCACCATGCCCTGGATGAGCAAAGCGCATCATTTTACTTCACGACTTTATTTCCTTCAGAGCACATCACGGGACTTGGTCGTCTTTTTCAAACTATGACTGAGCTGTTCATTTACAAATGCCCTGCAGACGACCGTGACCAGCCTTTTCAAAGGAAGGCCCAGCTCCGCCACATCACCACATCCTGGACGCGGCACCCAGAGGTCTGTTCCACGGCCACCTGCTAACTGTGGGAAGTCATGTGCCGGGAGAGATGGTGGCGCTCCCGGAAGTATTCGTGGCAAAGGGGGCATGTGAGGGCCTCTTCTCTCAGCTTCCTAGAATGGAGGTCCAGCCCTGCATGCTCCTTTTTGTGGTGGGACCGCATGTGGAAGACCAGGTCGGAGGTCAGGTGAAAGGAGAGGTTACACTTTGCACACCAGTTCTGGGTGGACAGGCCAAGGGAGATGAACGTGGGTGGCAGGAGGGCCCAGGAGGCAGTGGAGGAGGCTGCCGAGGGCGTGGGTGTCTGGGCCGCAGCCTGCTTGAGCCACAGCGTAGGCGCACCCAGGAAAGGGCTGCAGAGAGGAGCGCTTTCTGGCGACATTTGCAGGTTCCAGAAATCAGTCACCAAAAGCTTGGAATTTGAAAGTCGACCCCACCCAGGGATGTCTACCGTGCTGATGAGTCCCAGGAGCTCCCCCAGGGCGTGTGCAGGCCCTCCTGCCTGGAAGACAGAGGTCGGCCCAGGTCTTCCTGCTGGACCCTGGGCTGGTTTGCTGAAGGCGCTTCTCTGCTCCCCTCTGGCTCCACTGGGCCACACTGAGAAGAACATGCTGCCTGCTGGGTCCTTGGGGACATCCTGGGTCAGCTCCCGGGAGCCAGGCTGGCCTGCAGGACCACTGTGCTCCCTCTCCTGGGCCTGCATGCCCCCCAGCCTCTTCTGGAGCGGAGGCACCTCGGTGAAGGCGCTCTGCCCCTGTGCCCAACCTGTGTTCCGCGGCACCAGCTTTCCCAGTCTGAGCTTGCCCGGGGTTGCCGACAGCGCCGTCTGAGCACAGG